TCATCGTCGGATGCTTCCAACACCCGCGTCAAAGCCGCTATACGCTCATCGACACTTTCTGTTAACGCCTCACAAACCATCTTCTGCTCAACAAACGCATCGTCCCTGGAGCCTTCCATCTCGTGAGTGTCGGTCTGTGGTATTGCCTGCAGGGCGGCTGCCAGCGCGACAGCCGGCTGGGGCTTCTGCAGGTTATCGAACGGGACAGACATAGCCGCGTCCACCGCGGCAGCCGGAACTTCGCCGCTCAAATCCGTCTGACAAGTCCGCGCTCGCCTCGTCATGGCCAGGACTTTTGACACGCCTTTACGTCCATTCTTGGTTCGAACTTTTACAACTCTTGCGTATTTTCTCATAGTTAGTCCCCTCAGTGACCGGTCACACGATATAGGCCCCGGCTGAACAGACACCCGTGTGTAGATCCGTGTCCAGAATGAAGTGAAAACAGATGTGCTGATCATCAGCCTCCGTGCTGCAATCAGGACATTGTCTCACTTCATGTATAGTCCTCGGTCAATATCTTTATATCTACACTTCCGCTTGAAGACCCCTTGGGTGGCTCAGAGCTTTAAAAAAATCCCAGCTTCTAGCCACAGCTTCTTCTAGCCAGTAAGCACATCCAGTCCGGTCACTGCCTTCAGTCAACTGTCAGAACTCCGGCACTCATCGTCTCTTGACGGCTCTGCGGACACCACTGCGGCACAGCGGGCTCCGTCTTACCTCAATAGGACTTCCGGCGTTATCCTATCACACTTTACCAATGGCTGCCGTGGCTGATAGCAGGTGGGCAGATAGGGAGACGGCACCACTCGATATCGGCTCAGCACTCTGACGCCGGGCGACTTGTTCGTGCAGCGGAGCTGTTGATGGGCAAGCTAGAAAGGGAGCTTAACTATTTATTTGACGTGCAGGGATGCTTACACACAAATCGCAATCTGTTTTCGAATTATGTGAAAATGACTGGTCCACCGGGACAACCATGGTATGAGCAAGGGGGTATACCTGTATTTTTTAGGGTTTGTATTTTTTGGCTGGATCCCTCCCCCCTAATCCTGAGACAGTGGCGGTGCCCCTTCGTGTAACCCGGCCGGGCCCGAGGGGTAATCCCAATCACCACAGCTGTAAATAAGGAAGCCACGGAAACAAAAAGGTACCAAACAAAAGGTCTCGAGTTAATTCTAAATCACCTACAAATGTCAAACTCAGGTCATTTTTCAAGGTCAGGGGTCAAGGTCAAAGGAAAACCCGTCATATATGTGGTGATCTCGAACTAAGTGTTCCAGGGGACGGTAGGATGCATGAAATCGATTAAAACGGGTAGGAAATGAGAGAAGTGAATCTGAGGATCCGATTATGTCCTCGAAATTCAAGGTCAAGGTCAAGGTTATGCTCAAAGTTGATCTCAAACTTTGAACTTTGCATTTTTCATAGATCTTATGTACAAGTCCATAATGTTTCGAGATTTAAAGCTTACACTGTAAAAAATATTGACGAGCTATGTGTCAAAACAAGGGTCTCGAAACAGTCACCAGGTTGTCAATGCTTCCGGTACCTACCACTTGACTAGTTACCGCTTAGTTAGCTTACAGGCTGAGAACTATCCAGATCGTTATGACCCGGTATTGTAATGATACCCTAGGTGTACCTTTGTTTTGAAGTGCTGAATTAACTATCAAGGTTGTTTGACGTTTGTTTTCGCCTCAATCCGAAACGAGGAAGACCCTCATCAAATTATTAGGTGAAAGCCAGCCTCAGGATGATCAAAATACTAGGGGTAGTTTTGTCATAGTAATCTGTGAAGGTTGAGGAACAAGCCGTAGCAATGCACTCGTCACTAAACCAGCCTGAGATTATTCGCCAGGTAGCGGCTGCGTTTCCCTACTTGCTGAATCATGTTAGCAACTTTCCATTTCCAGACACTTTTTACGGCAAATAAATTGTTGGGTTATTTGGAAGGTGAATGACAATTTTATTTCTATAAGTCAATACATTTGTATTTCCGATTGCCCAAAAACTTTTTTTTTAATCGTTTGCGGTAGGTTTTTATTGTTCGCAATAAAGTTGCGCACCTGTGAATCCTTCACTTAATGCGTTCCCGGCTTCCCGGCGCCAGCTGTTGCGCTGTGCCGTGCCGGTTATATGGCCTTGGCCGTGCCGCGTTCGGTCGGGGGTGCGCGAGTCTGTGCAGTGCGAGTGTTTATCACTGGGCAAACCTGTATCGTTTCCATTTGTGCAGTGTCTAGTTATGAAGAATTGCTTGCCGATATATGACCTGCAGTGATCGACGTTCTGATTCAATAACTTGCCATAAGCCATTATTCTCAACCAAATCGCGCAGAGACGTTTGCAAAGTTGTCGAGGGGGGGGAACAAGAGCGATTTTAAATGAATTGCTCTCCATGCAGTGCAATAGGACTTAGGTTTAATTTTTCGAAAGTTGTGGAGCCGCCCCCGGTGTCCGGCCTGGCCAACTCTCTCAAGAACCGACAGCTAACGGAACACTGAAGTTTCACTACGACGATTTCCGCCAAAGTTATGAAGAAAGGGCAAGTGCAAGAAGTACAAAACTTCTCTTGGTAATCAAAACTTAGGTTTGGCAAATTCCAAACCCTAAGTCACTACAACTGTGGATATAAATAAGCTGGTTATTGACGGCCAAGCTCTGGCCAATCTGAGGTTCAGACCTATCATCAAGTTCATGAGGCAGCTGCGGTTGGGCGGCTCACGGGCTCCACTGCATAGGCTCAGACAGGTACTCTACAAAATGTCGTCTGTGTTCTTAGGTTCAGATCTATCGATAGGTATGTGCATGCTTCTGATTCGATTGATAACTGTAAACGGGCGCTGGAAGTGAAAGATTCGCTTGATATACGAAAGGTGCATTGCAAGAAAGCATATTATTTCAGAAATACACTTTCATTTTATCTTGAGCGTTTTTGGAATGGGCCGGATGAATTCGTCATCAAACTGGTAAGGGATTTCGTTTGAAGACCACCGATATTTAATAATATGATGGTCTTCAAACGAATTCGCTGGCAAATTCGATGACTGGATTGGGCGGCGTAGGATCTGCTGGTCATCTGACTATGGGTTGAGCAATACGTTAGTTTTGACCTAGTTTGAGCTTCATTCGTTAAGTAGGAACAAGACGATGCTTCTTTTGAGCATCGTCACTAAACAAGCCGCCCTCGTTTTGACATTGTTTTTCGTTATTATTGTTACTAGGTACTTTGTTATCATACACAGCATTAACGAGGACCTGCTTCCAAAACAAGGCAGAAACGCTCCAGCTATTTTTGGGACGTGGTAAAAACTAACCGACACCTGGTAACTGTCATCTGACGAACACAAAACAAGCCAGGGGCTCGCAGCGTGTGTCAAAAGTAGGATGCAAAACTAGTCTGTACCCCCGACATTTAGCGTTGAGAATCATTTGACGAGGGGCTAGTCAATATTTTTTACAGTGTATCAGGCCCCTATTTGTGGTTCATGTTACGATACAAATCTCCCCCAAGGTCAAGGTCACACAAGAATATAAGTATCCTTGCTAGAGGCTATTTTACTGATTTAATTCAGCCATAATATTTCAATAATTTTTGCTCTCCTGAGGCTCTAAATAACTGCTTAGAGCGAAATTGTTACCAGATTCGCGATCACCGGCTACGAATACATCATTTGAGACCCATCAGGTGTCAAAGCCAACCAAAGGTCATTCGAGGTCACATGAGGTCAACATAAAACTGAACTTTTTCAAACAACATATGTGTCATTCGACGCGTCTTGACAAGATGAATGCGTTGGTGTCACTGCGTTAGCCATTGGACCATTTTCGTTGAAGTTATGCACGAAAAAAAACTAAACCCCAAGCTCGGGGTCGTTGACCTGGCCTCTGACCTCATGTCACCAAATTTGTTTTTTTGTATCTTTCCGTGGGTCATATGCTACACAGCTGTGGCCGTAATTTGTCTTTATCTCTAACTATTTATGGCCACTGTCTAAATTTCACGTCTGTGAGGTAACACTTTGCCGTGCAGGAGTCCAGGAAAATTGACCATGTGACGTCATCAAGGGAGGCTAAGTCCAATTTTTTGCTTCAGAACATGTCAAAGTGATAGGGGAAAAGATACTGATAGCTTTGCGCCCCTGTTCCTAAACGTTCGGGAGTTATCGCAAATATTCACCAGGGGGCGAAAACGCGCCCCCTGCCCCCTTCAACCCCTCCCGGGCCCGCGAGGGATCGGGGCAGTTTTGATACGGTACAAAGTGCACCAACAGCCACACCTCGTTCAAAATGTCGGATGGGACAGCCTATCGGCCATTACGATGCATCAGCTATTGTCAATAGCTAGTCCACCGATTGTACTGAAATGCAGCCCTGTCAAGCACCGGTTGACATCACTCAATTTGTTCAACGCCACATTATCGGAACCGCTTCGGCTATGCCTAATCCCGAGATTTTCAGCAGGATTGGTGGGCTCGTGGGGCCACTCTGAAGAGCGGCGGGGAATGCGACTCGGCTGCAATCGTCGGCTCAGCTATCGGCCGCACAGTGCAGCTGTCGTTCCGGGGTCGACGTGGGCCCGTGTCTGGGTCAAACGTGCAGGTCACCTCTGTGACCTTACCGGGGTCAACATGTCAACTATATGTACTGGTCCCCACCGGTCACATGTCCAGGGTGCCAAAATAAATAAATAAATAAAAAACACACACAAAAACAAGAGCCAACGCCGACCTACGACTCGTGTCAGGAGCCCACGTCGAACGTGCCTGCTTGTGGGATTGGGTTGCCGATTCTGAAAACGATGGGATAGACTATAAATGAGCAGGAAAATTGAAGGGGATTAGTAAATACAAATTAATGGAGAAAAGGCAATCCCAATCCACAAAAAGATTTAGAACACCACCGATCCTATGCCTGTGTCGACTGTTTGATGCGACTCGCGTATACCCGACCTCCGCACTCGCTTCCCCACGTGACTCTGACTCATTCCTCGCCGCCAGCTGCTGGTGAAGGACCCCGCACTCCGACTCGGCTCTCCCGAGTGTCCTGCCGGCGGTGTCTGCAGCCAGCCCTTCTTCCGGCGGGTGGACTGGTACCTGGTGGAGCGCAAGCAGCACGATCCGCCGCCGTTCAGACCGACACTGGTAAGGCCAATGTGGAATACCCCACAAAAAGATATAGCGCGAGAGAGGGATCGCAGGATGGTTTATGTAATGCATCATTTGACATGAATGTGAATAGTGGATGCTGTGCAAACGACTGGGATTTTCAGAAACCAATGCAAAACACATTGGACATTCCCAAGCTGCTGATGTGGTCATAGGACATAGTTTCATCAGGCGCCGTATTTGGTTACACGAGAAACAAGGTCAGAACACTGAACATAAACTATTGCGGACACTCCCTAGCTCACAGAATCGGAGCGACATAACACTCAGTCCTGTGGCAGGCGGGTGGATTCCACTGTCCGACAAGGTCGAATAATAGACCACGTGGTCCGATAGTTGTCAGTCGGTCTAACTCAGCAAAAACGTCGGATGACGTCATTAATATACACATGACCGTCCTGCTTGGAAGTTTTGATACCAGTCACACTGCGTGCTGGATATTCGCATGCTTCTTATATTTGCACTGTAGGTATATGGCCGATATGCACTGTCGCCTATTACATAATATATAAACATCCAGATATTGTAAACGTATCGAAAAGAAGCAATGCCTCGGACCCTCTCATTCGGGTCTGAGGTCATTCGGGGCTCTCACTGTGCGTAAGCTGCCGTGACTATGTTTCTAAGCCGTCACTGTCACCGAATGCATCACAATAATATCGATTGTACAGTCGTGTACAGGTTGATGGTCCCCTACTCTTTATCCACCGGGTTCCTATGGCTCAGCATTGGCAGCAGCCGCCTGGTACCGGTAGGCTGTGCCGCATGACCCGAGAGTGAAGCGGCACAGTCTACCCACGCCGTTTGACATCGGCTCGGGTCGCCGGGTGGAGCGCTTTGTAGACCAGCTGTTGCGTCAGACCAGCGCGGGGGGAGGGGCTCGTCTCGGTGGTTGGCGTGGGCTGGCGAGTGGTGTGGGGCGTGTTGGTGGACCATGGGGGCTGGGCGGGTGTGTGTGGTCACTTGCTGCATTGCACATTTTGCGTCGCTTAACAATTGCATTCCTGTTTTTGCTAGGCACAATGCACGGAAGACCCAGCGAATATAATTTACTTTACTTGTGCATTGTGCAAAACGTGATTTGGCACGGTATCGAGACAACCATAGGTCTTGTGCCTATGCATGATATTTAGACAATACGTTTATGAAAACGGTAGATTGATGCTGGATGTCAATTCGTATTGCTAAATGTCGGCACGAATGAATGAATGAATCAATCAATCAATCAAACAATCAATAGACAATAAAACCGTTTAAATGGCTCGCAACCATTAATAACAATCACACCATCCTAACTCGGAAAAACAGCCGGAGCCCTGATGAGGCTCGAACCGGGACTCCACGCTGTAAATTTTGCCAATGATCCATCATCATTCCACCAAGCTAGAGTAACCGGCACCCGAACCCACAAAAACATTAATTGACTTTGCCGCCGACCTCCCGGCCCCGCCGCCCGCCCGGCCAGACTTTGCCCCGGCCATAGCCACCATCCGGTGTAGCTCAGCGTAGGAGTGCTCGACTGTCAAACTGACCGGTAGTGACGGGCCCGGTTCGAAACGCTTCGGATGCTGGATGTTTATTTCTCGGTGGGAGGCTTTACGTTTAGTCCACTTTTCAGAAAGATCATTTGGTGACTGACCTGTTTTCTTTCTTTGCCGCAACTCATGAGGAGACCGTATGCACCCTTACCTGTCCTTCCGCACCCCACCGGTAGTGAGGGGCCCGGTTCGAAACGCTTCGGATGCTGGATGTTTATTTCTCGGTGGGAGGCTTTACGTTTAGTCCACTTTTCAGAAAGATCATTTGGTGACTGACCTGCTTTCTTTCTTTGCTGCAATTCATGAGGAGACCGTATGCACCCTTACCTGTCTTTCTGCACCCCACTTGGGAGATGGGTGGTTGCCCCCCCCCCCCCACGGGTTTGTGAATATCTCTAAAACGAATTTTTAGAGGGGGATACGATCGGTTCTATGCGACAAGTGACCACACACGCCCAGCCCCAGGTCCGCTCACTCCCTACCCATATCACCCCCTCCCCACACCACACTCCAGCCCGCCTCATCCACCGAGCCGAGCCATGACGAATTGACGAGCCTAAGCGCCCCGGGGCGCGACCTGTCAGCGAACCGGCGGCGGGGACGCGGGCCAGCGGTTCAGGTTGCGTGCGCCGCGGGGGCAGGGGCGCGTCCAGGCGTCGGGGACATCGAGGCGGCGCGAGCTGGCGCCGCCACGGCGACACTGGACGAGACCTGATAATTGGACACCTCAACATTCAGTCGTTGAAGCCCAAACTGCCGGATCTGCGAGACGACATTCATAGAGGAGTTCACGGATTTGATATATTGTCACTGTTATTATATAACAGTGTTCGCTGACAGGTTGCGCCCCGGGGCGCTGAGGCTCGTTATGGCTCGGCTCGCACGGTTCGTCGGAAGGTCATCTCAGGCTCAAAAGAAACGATATATACCATTCGAAAGCTGACGGAGAGCTGAATCCAAAAATGTAATTTTCATCAAAATCGATCGATGGCCTTTTTTGAAAATTGCGTTTTTGTAAAAACTTAATAATCTTTTATTCAACGGGCTGTCCCGGACATTCTTGAAAACATAAACATGTATTTTTGAGTTCCAGTGAAAGCTGAACGCCAAAAGAACAATATTTAGCGAAGCAATATTTCCAAACATTAATATGCGTCTCCCACAGCCGAAAATAAGGCGCAATCACACAGCTCAGTATCACGATGGACCAAAGTCAGCCACACAGAAGCGTGAAATGACCCTTATCGACTAGCAGACCCGGCGCTCTCGGCCCGCCTGACCGGCTACGGAAAGAACGTTCGGCTCTCGTTCTACTAAACAAATGTCGTATTTGTCAGTTTAGCTGTCCACATCGCTATTAAAGTTATTCAGGATACCTGTGAAGAAAATTCATTGTTCTGTCATCTTCACATCATGCATTAATTTGCATTTGTTCATGTCTACTTTGCTCAATTGAGCTTGGTATCATGCCCATATAAGGAAAATTGGCCGCGCTGAAATGTCAGAGGTTGCACCCGCCTCAGCTCGGGTGGAGTGGGGGTAGCGCCCGGCGGGGCAGGGTAACCTTTGACCGGTCGCACGGCCGAGCAGCTGTCACCAGTACAGCCTCTGACAGTGAAACCCCGCTCACTTCCACTGCGCGGGCACTGATCGCAGCTGGATGGAACAAAACATGTATAAGAAAATGTAAATTAAAGCATGTTGTATATCGAGCAGAACAATGAATTTTCTTCACAGGTATCCTGAATAACTTTAATAGCGATGTGGACAGTTAAAGTGACAAATATGACATTTGTTTAGTAGAACGAGAGCCCAACGTTCTTTCCGTGGCCGGCCAGGCGGGCCGAGAGCGCCGGGTCTGCGAGTCGATAAGGGTCACTTCACGCTTCTGTGTGGCTGACTTTGGTCCATCGTGACACTGAGCTGTGTGATTGCGCCTTATTGTCGGCTGTGGGAGACGCATATTAATGTTTGGAAATATTGCTTCGCTAAATATTGTTCTTTTGGCGTTCAGCTTTCACTGGAACTCAAAAATACATGTTTATGTTTTCAAGAATGTCCGGGACAACCCGTTGAATAAAAGATTATTAAGTTATTACAAAAACGCAATTTTCAAAAAAGGCCATCGATCGATTTTGATAAAAAATTACATTTTTGGATTCAGCTCGCCGTCAGCTTTCGAATGGTATATACCGTTTCTTTTGAGCCTGAGATGACCTTCCGACGAACCGTGCTCGGTGGATGAGGCGGGCTGGAGTGTGGTGTGGGGAGGGGGTGATATGGGTAGGGAGTGAGCGGACCTGGGGCTGGGCGTGTGTGGTCACTTGTCGCATAGAACCGATCGTATCCCCCCTCCAAAAATTTGTTTTAGAGATATTCACAAACCCATGGGGGGGGGGCAACCACCCGTCTCCCAAGTGGGGTGCGGAAGGACAGGTAAGGGTGCATACGGTCTCCTCATGAATTGCAGCACAGCAAAGAAAGGAAACAGGTCAGTCACCAAATGATCTTTCTGAAAAGTGGACTAAACGTAAAGCCTCCCACCGAGAAATAAACATCCAGCATCCGAAGTGTTTCGAACCGGGCCCCTCACCACCGGTCAGTTTGACAGTCGAGCACTCCTACGCTGAGCTACAACGGATGGTGGCTGTGGCCGGGGCAAAGTCTGGCCGGGCGGGCGGAGGGGTCGGGAGGTCGGCGGCAAAGTCAATTAATGTTTTTGTGGGTTCGGGTGCCGGTTACTCTAGCTTGGTGGAATGATGATGGATCATTGGCAAAATTTAAAGCGTGGGGTCCCGGTTCGAGCCTCATCAGGGCTCCGGCTGCTTTTCCGAGTTAGGATGGTGTGATTGCTATTAGTGGTTGCGAGCCATTTAAATGGTTTTATACATGTCTATTGATTGATTGATTGATTGATTCATTCATTCATTTAATACGTGCCGACATTTAGCAATACGAATTGACATCCAGCATCAATCTACCGTTTTCATAAATGTATTGCCTAAATATCATGCATAGGCACAAGACCTATGGTTGCCTCGATACCGTGCCAAATCACATTTTGCACAATGCACAAGTAAAGTAAATTATATTCACTGGATCTTCCGTGCATTGTGCCTAGCAAAAACAGGAATGCAATTGTTAAGCGACGCAAAATGTGCAATGCAGCAAGTGACCACACACACACGCCCAGCCCCCATGGTCCACCAACACGCCCCACAACACTCGCCAGCCCACGCCAACCACCGAGACGAGCCCCTCCCCCGCGCTGGTCTGACGCAACAGCTGGTCTACAAAGCGCTCCACCCGGCGACCCGAGCCGATGTCAAACGGCGTGGGTAGACTGTGCCGCTTCACTCTCGGGTCATGCGGCACAGCCTACCGGTACCAGGCGGCTGCTGCCAATGCTGAGCCATAGGAACCCGGTGGATAAAGAGTAGGGGACCATCAACCTGTACACGACTGTACCAACTCCATTTTCATGAAAATCATGTAAAACTCATTGCTATGCTCCTTTCTCTTATACGTTTTCTTTTTTTTGTTACTTTAACGTACCGAAACCAAGACACTCATTTAAGGACGTTCGTCCCAGTACAGTAGCACACACAGCCATTTTATGTTCCCCGAGTGACGTCATATGCCGTCCCCAGCTGACAATGGCCGACTGCCGGTACTTCGAGGACGACTACACGACCCTGCCGGCGCGTCTGACCGACATCCCTGACGACGTGCTCGCCGAGGTGCGCCAGGATCGCTTCGCTAACTTCGACTACACCAATCCGAACATGACCGACTAGCCGACTTAGGGCTGTGCGAGGATCGAAGGCGTGTTGGAGCGGTGCTCGTTTAGCGGCCTGTGAGACGTAAGTGTGGTAAACTCTTCCGCTTAATATGTCGCATCAAGTATTGACACGAATTGAATAATTGCGTGCCAATAATCTGTTAAGTGCAATGGGAATGGCAGTGATAGGAATAGGAAAATCGACTGAAGAAAGTCGAAGTGCTTTTCCAATCCCATGGAGTACTTATTTTAATTGCATATAGTTTGTCAAAATACCGTAAAACGAATCATCCTCGATTGAATTCAGCGGCTTTCCGTGCGTGCTATCGTAGTGCTGTTGTATGCAACCATCGTGAATTATGAAATAACCTTAGGAAAGATGGACCGCTGGCAATACGTGCGATGTTAGTTTTTTTTATATACCTGTAGATATTACGACATTCCATTCATGAATGTCCTGCGGTCGCTTAGAAGCACCGCTGAACTGTGAGAAATGCATCAACATGAAAAGGCTGCCAAAATGAGACATGAAAATATATGGTAAATGGAAAAATATGTTTACCTGTAGATACATAATATTTGGTATTGTGCTGATTGAACAAAACATCCTCCGGACACCATTCGAGGAAGCGACACTCCCCACATAGAAAATTGATCCTTATTGATTTTCTGACTTGAGAGCTCAGTACACAAGGTAGCTAGCTTGTACCGTGGCGACCGGCGCCCTATCGGCCATAGACATGTGACATGTCAAGGTCAACGTCAGTTTGGTACATAATTATCCGATATTACACTACATAAAAACAGCATAATATGAGATACTGCCTTGCCTTCATGTCTACAAATACAACCGTTTTGGCAGCAGCATAGTAATTTTGGGCCCTTGGGCAGCAACATAATATGATATGATCCATAGTGACCACGTGGACTGCGATCATTCAGCACCAGTGTCCAGAGAAGACGTCCCACAACAAACACACAGTTCGAACCGCGTGACAAGACGGACAGCGTCAGCTCAGACCGGTTCATTAGGGCCATGACCTTTGAGCGCTCGTCGTACGAACGGCACACCACCACCGGTATGGAGAGCATCACCAGACGTGACCCGACCGAAGATACATACTCAATTACTCAGTGACGGAGGCAGGATAAATTCCACACCAGATCGCACGGGCGTCGCCAGATAAAGTAACGAAGGTGTATATTATTTACAACTTTTGAGCCCGCGCTCTGATCTGATTCTGTGCTTAAAACAGTCCGAACATGACGCGGAATAAGTGGAGACAGCCTCCGTGCTGAGGTATGCTGAGAACGCCTTTACGTAAACAGAACTCACGTCGATTTAAACGGCGGAATACTACAGCTGGAGTCCAGTCGGGTTCTCACTGCACAGCTGGGAGCGTCGGGTCCAGCCAGCCATGTCCTACTTGATAATACCGGTAAGTTTGTGGGGAAATATGCGACATGCACACATTCGAAGGCGTCAGTGTTCTGTAGGGTGCATTCCGATAATCGGTATGAACATATCACATCCATGCAACCGCATTGTTGCCGTACAGTCGGTTACAGGCCAATCGATACGGAGCGTTTATCCACCGCGGTTACCTATGGTGTCATGCCTCATTCAGCACACTGGCAGTAGTCGCCTGCACTGGTAGACTGTGCCGCTTGGCTTGAGTGTGAAACGGCACAGCCTATCCATGCCATATGCATATGGTGAAACTTATACGGGACCCTACGGCCTACGGTCGCTGATAAGTTTCATCTCCAGTTTCATGAGCTGGTTTTCATTCCGAGAAGATTTGGTAAATTTGGGTGTTGACTGTTGATGGCTTTGGATATCTCGAGATAGGTGGATGGGGTGGGGGGGGGGGGGATCGAAAATACATACCTACTCCGAGCCTCCCTAGCTGAAAAATCAGAGGGGCTGAGCCCCGCTAGCCCCCCGACTCCTAGTCATTATCGATCAGCCTGTAACCGACTGTACCTATTATAGTGACGCTTCGTAAGCAAAGCCAATCTGCCATTGGACAATAACTTCATGTAAGGTCATGAAACATTGCTTATAGAAATAAAAAAGCCTGCCTGTTGAAAGGAAGTCGACTAACATCTAGCGCCTAAATTACGGCAGTGAATAGTTACAGCTGACATTTTTATCACAGGCAGGCGACGAAGCCTGCAGTGTTCGTCAGCAGATGACGGACTACTGGGCGCAGTTCTCTGAACCCACACTAGAAAACATGATGCTTAACGAGGATGCTCGGCAGCTAGCTGAGCAGGAAGAAACGGAAATACTGGATTCGGTTCCGCAGGTAAGAGAGCTTAGAACGACTGAATAGTTCGTTTCGCGTCAGCTCATTTTTCATAAATTCCAATCACAAAAAGCATTGTATGCATATTCATTTTATCCAACACACGTTCAAGGTTCATCATATGAACATAAACATTTTGTCAGGTCGGTGGAATGCGGGTGCTGGAACTCGGCGCCGGAATCGGCCGCTTCACTCGGAAACTGGCAGAGCGTGCAAAACACGTCACAGCCGTCGACTTTCTGGAAACCTACATCGAAAAGAACCGTCAGAGCAACGAGCATCTGGGCAACGTCGAGTTCGTCTGCATGGATGTCACACAACTGAAACAGGACAACGGCCAGTACGACATGATCTTCAGCAACTGGCTCCTGATGTACCTTGGCGATGACGAGATCGACAAGCTGGTCAGCAGCATGCTTCGGTGGCTGAAGCCCAACGGTTACCTCTTCATTCGAGAGTCGTGCATCAAACAGTCAGGTGAGGAAAAACGAATGGTTGGCGGTCAGCTTAACCGAGAAAGGTCTGGGAAACTGAGAGCACTTACCTTATTTATCAGCTGTTCCATGGCAGGAAGAGTCCTAGGCCGTTTAAAATGCGCTTATAAAAAAGGCAAATGATGTAGTGCTAATCAGTAACAAATAACCAACGTTTATAAATTAACCCGCGCACCGACGGGGGTCTGCGCCAACTTCGCACCGACGGGGGGGGGGCGATTGACCGCCCCCCCCCCTGAGATCTGGAGAACGAAGCAAGATAGCGACAAGCGGTAAACGGCATCGGATACGCACGGACAAGGTCTACAATTTTTACTAAGATCATTTTCAGGTCAGGTCAAAGATGACGTCACAGGGGTCGAAAAAGTCAAAATGGCTGCGCTAGATATGGAAAGAGTTTTTCTCGAATAACTTTCGAATTAGTCAAGATAGAAACAAACTAAGGGCATCATCGTGATCCTCTCGTCAATCCGCATCGAATGATATATATATATATATATATATATATATATATATATATATATATATATATATATATATATGTTGACCTCGAAAGGTCAAGGTCAAAGGTTGACCTCAGGTCACGTGACCTCGAGGTCATCATGTATATCATTCGATGCGTCTTGACGAGCTGAACACAATGAGACCATCCGCGCGGCTGTATCTTGTTCTTGTACGGAGTTATTGGCAAAAAAAACGCTGGTGACCTTTGATGACGTCACATGACCTCACAGCTGCCCAACAGCAAAACAGACCTCAAGGTAGTGAAGGTTGATCGTATATGAAGTCATGTATGGTATATGTGGCCATTCCGACCCGTTTTAGTGGTAAAAACAGGGAGTTGATTTTCCCCCATTGACTTATAATGGGGAGGTCGCGAAATTGACCTGACCTTAGGTCACCGACATCAAAATTCCGAGATATACAAATTATAGCTACTAATGACCTAATAACATCCTGCGACTTTCAAAGGCCTCTGACATCTACTGTAGCTCTGGCACGGTGACAAAGTTGCAAAAAAGTGACTTGAGGTTGGGTCATTCAAAGTGACCTGGTGACCTGACCTTGAAAGTTAGGAGGTTCAAACTTGCACACCATGTGCAAAATTGATGAGAGAATAGTCATACCAAATTTCGCGGCGCGCTATCCGCAAAAAACCTCAGGGGGGGGGCGGATATCCGCCCCCCGTCGGTGCGCGGGTTAAATATGACGGCTGTCTATTATCGACCAGTTGTTCGTTATTGTACGTACGTCTATCTTTTATTCACTTGCTAGCTAGGTAAACCATCTCAACCCACTCCGGTATTCCAGGCAACAAGAAACGTCAGACCAATCCGACGTTCTACCGCAGTCCGGCACACTACTGCAGCCTTCTGCAAGGACCCAGCATGAAGTCTCCGGAGGCCGACTACAGGTTCACACTGCGCTACGCCGCCTCCGTCGACGTCTTCATCAAGGTCAGCAGCATGACCGATGAGGCCGCCTCTGATGGCTATGACGTGAAAATGACGCTTTTGCTGCGGGAAAAGTATGAACTCTTTAAGCGATTAAACTGCATATAATTTCATTGGCTATTGTTTTACCTAGCGAATTTGCCCTATGGTATTAGTTACTCGTACATCAGGCAATAAATCGGTGTGAGAGCTATTTTCATCGTCTTCCCTTGTTTCTGGCAGTATTCCGGCAACCCGTACCAGCTGCTGTACCTGCTGAGGAAGACACCAACCAGCGACTACTTCAGCAGCTTCCAGAACTTCTTGGACAAGCACCAGTACTGTCTGAACGGCATCAAACGCTACGAGGCCGTCTACGGCGACTCATTTGTCAGCTGCGGCGGAAAACCAGTCACAGAGGTTCGGAATGTACTTCCCTTATTATAACCATTCTTAAATTCTTAATTTTGCAAGCTATACTGCGAATCCACTCATGTCACTGTCTTCTTTGAAGGCTAGTTGCAAAACTGATTGAATAATTGCAGGCTTTACTGGTCGTAATACATGTTGTGTTTTCGCACAGAACTCTGTAATGTGGCCTCAGCCGTCAGTCCGTGACCCGCCTCCCTCCCGCAGCGGCTCTGCGACCGGCTGGACCTGCAGGCCCACTCCCGTGTGCTGGACGTGGGCACGGGGCCGGGCGGCTCAGCCATCCACATGGCATCCCGCTACGGCTGCCACGTCACCGGCATCGACCTGTCTGCCAACATGGTGACGGTGGCGCTGCAGCGACAGGCCTCCCTCCCTCCGGCGGTGAGTCGCGCGCCAACGATCCGTACTCGCTTACCTATAGAAAGTTGATTTTACAATTACTGCAGTGCATCTGTGTCATATCTGGGTCATACATCAAGCAAGCCCAAACCATCGTTTCTCCGCAGGTCCGCGAACGGTTGCGGTTCGAAATCAGTGACATCACGGAGCGCGAGTACCGTGACGCCAGCTATGACGTCATATACAGTCGGGAGACGCTGCTGCACGTGGAGGATAAGACGGCCGTGCTGGCCAAGTTCTGGCGGTGGCTGAAGCCCGGCGGAAAGCTGCTCATCACCGACTACTGTCAGGGAGAGGGCCAGCTGAGGAACGAGTTCCTCGAGTACAAGTCGGCGAGAGGTGAGGAATACATGGTCGATTGATATTTCTATAACGTACGAATTATCAGAACATGACATCAACGATGCCATCTGTTTTCAACATCCCTACAGGTTTATGACTAGCCCTGCCGTCTGCATAGCCATCATACAGGCTCCATCATCTGCCTACCCAGGTCGCTCGGACTGACCCTGCCGTCTCTCTACAGCGTACCGGCTCCTGACTCTTCAGGAGTACGGCGGCGTCGTGGAGGCTGCCGGCTTCACTGACGTCCAGGTCCGTGACCAGAAGGACGACTTCCTGAACGTGCTGCATCAGGAGCTGGACACCTTCAGAGCGAGGAGACCACAGTTTGTCGAGGTACTGATGTGCGCTGACAGAAGGCATAGACTAGAGCCGCTACTGAATACGCATTGCTTCTTAAATTTGGAAGTAGATGATATATTCAACTCCTACTTACGAGCAATGAAATTGAAATACGTTATTTCTTACATGAAAAAAATCATAAGAAGTGTTTTCCCGCAACGTCAATTTCATGGAATGAGCCTATCTGACGTCAGACGTGACAGTTTGTTGCTGAAGCATTGCTGACAGGGCTCCTTGAGGCTCTTGTGACAGCCAAACTGTTCATTTTCTTTCAGGAGTTCTCGGAGAGCGAGTTCCGGGACACGGTGGTGGGATGGGAGCAGAAAATCGCCCGCGCCACCGACGGCAGCCAGGTGTGGGGCCTCATCGCCGCCCAGAAGCCCAATGAAGAGTGAACTAGCTCTTTGTCTGCCTCGGAGAGAGGAACTACTTCCCCAGAAACCGCCGGTCTTGAGGCCTGCCATATTTCATTTGTATTCCCAGGAGGCTGATAGGTTGTGGGCATACATGATGAGCTCTAGCTTTCGTGATGTTTGAATGATACTGGTCAGTGTGGCAAGCCAGAAAGATGCATGATATTTTTTTCTAAATGGAAATGAGTGTTATCACTGTTTACTAACAGTGCAGTTTTAACAGTGTTAACTGTGTTATAGATACCGAGCTCTATAGCTTGTCGACAAGCATGTGTGATATTTGTATGAATTTATTGCTATAATGTTTGTTTGGGAATGGTGCAAAAAACGTGCTGGCTAGTGGGTAAAAACACCAGTGACTATTGTTTTTTCACCAACGCTGATACATGTAAGGTAGGTACTTGAGACTAGCGCGCTATACGTGGCCAATGCCCAAAATATCAGATAGGTAGGTAGTTATATCCGCTGATGCCTATGCATCTGTGAATGTTCACTCAATAAACTGAATCAAAAGTTTTTGGTTTTCCCTTTGACTGTGCAGTGACTCAAATTGCCATTTTTGTAAGATTTATTTTGATTCACCAGTGCTTATACGACATGGCTGAGGAATGTATATGAATAAGGCAGGAACTTGAGATTTCAAACAAACTTATTATTTAATTCTACCTTTAACCCGTGTCTGGATGTGGGTCTCAGCCAGCTTCGCCAAGATGGGTGGGGGGGGGGGGGGGAGGGAGGCGAACTCATCTTGGGCCAGGCGCGGATACAAGGGGGGGGCCATGGGGGCCATGGCCCCCCCCCCTTGGCCGATTTTTTTCAAAAATAAAATAAAAAGTTAAAAAGTTAAAAAGCTGAAAAGGGGGCCTCCTGAAAATAAAGTGGCCGAAATCCGATGAGTTTTTTTTTAGCCTACCCACTTAGTTATTTCTTAGAAGACTAGCTGAGAAGACTTCTTTGTTAGAAGATTGGTAAAGCTTTTCATTACTTGGAGGTCTCTTATACTCACAGAGATGACCACTTTTACAGGGCCTCCTAACCTGCACAGAGGGCCCCCAAGCCTGCACAGATGTTGAGATGTTGCCTGAACAGCTAGATAAGCTCAATAGACGCAGTTTTTTGGGGGGGGGGCCCAACAAGTGGGAAGATGGGGCCTCCAACAGGTGGGATTATGGGGGGGGCCTCCTGGTTTCTAATGGCCCCTCCCTTGGAGATTTCCTGGATCCGCCCCTGTCTTGGGCAAAGATGTCAGGATTCAGAAAATAATAGATCGATTTGGGCATGCTTGTTTGAAACAGGAGACATTCGCAATGTCTTCAATTTCTTTTTATATTGGTAAAATAGTGAGGTAACGAGTCTGACCCCACTCACAGTGGAATTCAGAGTAGACTTTTCTACCGTCCACCGGACACCACCAGCCCATTCGGCGAACTCTCATCTGCCCGTGTTTCCACGGCAGCTGCCTAAATCCAGCGCCGACCGAGACATCTTAACGTCTCCGCCTCTGTGTCCCAAGCATCACATATCTAACGAATGGCTATTTCGAGCCATGCGGTGCAGCATGACTTCAGGCGGTGACTAGCGACATCTGTGAACCGGAATCCATAACTATTTCGAACCGTGCGGTGCAGCATGACTTCAGGCGTTGACCACTAGCGACATCTGTGAATCGGAATGCATAACTATTCCGAGCCGTGCGGTACAGCATAACTTCAGGCGCTGACTACTAGCGACTTCTATGAGCTAGACTTCACAGCTCTGTCCTAGCGGCATTACCATTACCTACCTATCAATGCAGATAGGACTTCCGATTCGCGCCGGTTAAAGTCAAAGTTGTGAGTGGGTTTTTTTCTTCATTTAGAAGGGTGATGCATAAATGTTTCTATATAGGGTGAACGCAAACTTAGGTATCGAGCATTGCTGTATTTCGTTGAACAGCAATCTGATCTCCAGCGCGTGCACCGTACACGGAATACCATCGTTATACTGAATCGTGGTGTCAAGCCAAACATTTCAAATTCAAAATTTGTATAGACTCATTAAAAATGTCACTCCAGATAATACACAGCAGCGTCTCATCAGCGGTTAGCGCTGATTTTCTTGTTCACCCAATGGGTGTCATATAGAAAAGAAAGACATCCATCTTCAAAGTCCTGACAAACAAGGTTTGGGTCCGATGACACCAGTCCAAACCCAGCTGCTTGAAGCGCCTCCACGACGGCGATAAATCTCACGGCGTTCTCGCGTGAGACCTCGTTCCTCTTCGGCACCTTCATGCCCTCCCCCTCGGCGATGGTGGGGGACCACTGGAGCAGGTGGAACTCGACGTTTAGCTGCTGGACGCGGAGAAGGTCGCCACCAGTGGTCAGCTGTTGGTGTAGAGCCTCCCACTCGCTCGTCTCCACGTCCATCTTCAGGTAGTGGATGGTACCCGGTCGCACTCGAGCCCTGCGCACTATACTGCCCAGACTGGCCACCGGAAAGCCGCCCAGCTCCGCGTCGCTGGACCCGATCCCCAGGTTGTGGAAGTGGATGTTTCTCGACTTGCGGAAGCTGCTCACTCCCATGGTGGGGTCGAATGCGTGGACCATGCAGCCCAGGTCCTCCATGGCCTCTTCGAAGGAGAAATCATTATTGACGCCGAAGGATAGAACAGAACAGTCCGCTGGGAGTATGTTCAAACACACAGGCTTCCGGCCGTCCAGAGCGTACACAACCGTTCTATCCGAGGCGTTCTGACGCGAACGTGCACAGTGGAAGCACCGACCGCCGGCTCCGTACAGGTACGAACACGAGGCACGCGCCTCTGTGTCTACTGCGGTGAGCAGCTCGTCTAGCTTACGGAACACGGCCTCCTCCTCAGAGTCCACAGCTGGAGAGAAGCTGCCGGCGGCGTGTAAAGTGCCGGCGGTAGCAGAGGGTCCCAGTTCTGCCGCCGGCTGCTGGTTGAAGGGCACACTTGACCACGACCATAATGTAGCCGATCTGGAGATGGATGAGACCCGCATTTATTGTTCGATATATATTATGATCCAACATTTCATCCGATTTTTCATCGGGAGACATTAGTCATTTTTACTGCAAACGTAAGCCTTCAACTTTTAAGGCCAATATTTATATCCTGTGTCATTTGCTTACCCAAACATTGTATATAAGGAAGCTATCTACACATTATGACATTTTGATAGCGCCTTGAAGAAATACACATTCCATGAATGCCGAACTTACCCGAATCCAATATTGAAATGCGTTGTACTGGCGATTATCAAAAACAATGCAGCAATATAAACCAATGCTCCTTTACGTATTGAAGCGAACAGCCATCTTGGACAATCTGGAACCCATAAGTTACTGGGCTTCATTTCTGGGATCTGCGAATCAATATTTTCGGCATAAATACGGCAAATGTCTCATAAACGACCTAGCAAGGCACGAAGTTCGTGTACAAATATATGCCGTTTGCACACTCGAACAATTAGTTTACTTTGAGATACCTGCATCGAAAGAGTGCACACACCGATGGAAGTAATGTTATATCCCTCAATTGGATAGCGTGTTGGATCATCCAATTGTACAACCAATAACATATCAATATAAGCATCGGTCTAAAGAAAAAACATTTTAGTTACTATAACGGATATTGAACCAACCTCTCTCACCTTTTCACCTACAACCCTCAAAAGAAAACGAAGCACTCGCCTTTCCTCTCACTCACACACCCGCTACTCACTGATGACTCGCACCCATGTCACGGACCTAATGCGGCAGTGAGACTTGTCCGTCGGACAGCAGTGGGACCAGCCGCGTGCCACAATAGTGTGCTAGGACCGCCGGACCATGGACGATGGGACGCCGTGCGCGAAACGCCAGTTGGTTATCAATTGACCAAGATGCTGAGTAGGGCGATGACCCATAGAAGTGATTTAGAATGCGAGTGAGAGACGACCGATCGGGAGGATAAAGTCGTGCAGAATACAGAGATGAGGAAGGACGGTGGATAAAAAGGAGGTAAAAAACGGGCCGATGGAGGATGGCGGAGGGCGAAAGGAAAAACGGACAAGAAATGCATCTACGGTGAAAATAACTTGAGACTGTAGGTTCCATGATATACACTGTCATAAGGGCTGCAGAGTCGGAGTTGGAGACGATTTGGGGGGGGGGGGCGGAGTTGGTGACGAGTCACCGAAAACCATCGAATCTGTAGACCAGGCAGCCGAGTCGGAGTCGGAGTCGGAGTCGGAGTCGGAGTCAGTCGAGGTCGACAGTCGTGCCCGGAGCCGGAGTCGAAGTCGATTTTCGAAGGCTACAGTGGGAGTCACCGAAAATCCATCGACCCCGCAACCCCTACAGAGTATAGCGTGTAATTTTTTCCCACTCATCTCCAGAGCGAAATGACAGGAATGGTAAAATGATTTGTCGAAAGAGGTGGATCGCGCTTGAATGGAATAGTCATTGGTGCTTAAATTTTCCATTACCAGCCTTGCAGATGAACCGTTGTGTAATTCACGTAGTTAACGCAATTCACATTGTAGAAGTTTATGCATATGTACGCTTTTTGCATAGCCCGTCGTTACGCGTAAAACCTATGCCTTTCACATAAAAGAGCCGTTTTCCGTAAAATTTCCACCTAAAACGCAGAAATAGGTGCTGGACAAATTATGAAAAAAATCAAAATTCTCGATGGCGTTGGTCAGAGGTAGATGAAGGTATGCAAATATAGGGTCACATATCTCTAATCCAATAATAATGAATTGGATAATAAATTAATAATCAGAATTCAGAACGGTAGCATAATCTATTCTTTTATAGAAAACAGCACACGCGGAATCCTAATACATTGTTCGCCTTAGTTACAGGCAAGCAGGCGGTAAACTTAAAATAAATGTGACGCGTCCCCTGTCACCTTTTCTATCGGTTCCCGATGAAATAACTATTTACTTGAGTTCAGACGTGTTCATAGGCATCCACCTTACCCAAGCTACATGTTTTTCGGGACTTAAAACTATATTTAATTAGCGAATATAAGCAAAGTAGCAACAATACTAAGGTCTAAACGCCCTTTCAGAAGGGCGTTACTTTCCGTGACTTTTTTACTCTTAACCTATAAACTTGGCCGTATAAGTAAGAAAGTTGAACTCTACTGAAGCATACGCCTTAAAAATATCCAGTGCTATCTTCAGTCTACTTATTCAGCCGCACCATGCCAATTAATGGCCGCTCCAGACTTATGTTAGAAGACCAGAATGACCTGCCTTATCATAGCCATACACACAGAGACTCGATACACCGCACAGTCGAGTCAGGTTCCACAGAACCCACTAACCAGCACAGCTCTTAGTCCTCGTCTGGAGTCGTACATACACGTTCACACTTCCAACATGCACTTGTCTGTCCGAGTCACACACGCACAGTTCGACATGCTGCACTAGCGCACAGAGAGGGACCACAGCGACATCTGGCGAGCCAATCGCCCTGCCACCTACCGGATCGGATCCGCCAGCGTGTGCGTTTCGAGGGACAGCAGCAGCCAGGCGAGCGGCAGGCTCTTGACGTGCGCCATGTCGTACTGGATAGCCGGTGGCTCCTCGAATATTACCAGATGTGAGGTATTACGCAGCGGCGACCCCTCAGCCGCGTGATAGGGTACCGTCTTCTCTGCTGGCGGTATCGCCTCTGGATTGGGCGGCCGGCTGAGCACGTGACCTCCCGCCAGCTGGATCAGCGAGGTCAGCTCGGCGCGGGGCAGCTGCTTGAAGGCGCCCTGCAGGTAGACGTGCAGCCCGGTGAGCAGCGGCGGCTGCAGACGCTGGCGGCGGCGGCACGCACGGCTGCCCGCCTCCCCGGCCACGTGCCACGGCTCGGCCGGCAGCGTATGCCCGGCCTCCGCGCAGGCGTCTGTCCAGTCGGCGGTCACCAGCCAGGCCCCGGCGAGCAGCGCGCGCAGCCGCGGCACGCTCAGGCCCGGCGGCCGCTCGGCACACACCAGGTGCGTGGTGGCATCTGTGACAGTGGCGGCAAACTTCCAGCCGAGCCGAGTGGCCGTCTTCTTTAGCGCGCCGACGGCGGAAGTGGACAGCTCGGTTGCGGCGAGAACGACGGCTCCGTCAGCTGAGGGCTCCGTCTGGCTGGTAGACGGCGTCTGTCGTGGTGTATCCAGAGCCGCCTCCATCTCCGCGCGTCCGGCCGCCAGCTGGCGCGGCGTGGTGCCGTACAGACAGCGGGCATCAGGGTCGGCGCCGCGACCGACCAGCAGGGCGGCCAGCTCGGCGCGGCCGGCGGCCACCGCCTCGTGCAGCGGCGTGCGCAGCTGCAGACCGGGCGGGTCGGGCAGCGCGCCGGCCTCGAGCAGCGCGGCCGCCAGCTCCAGCCGGCCGGCCTCGCACGCCTCGTGCAGCGGCGTCCAGCCGGCGTTGTCCTGGGTGTTGGGCGAGGCGCCGGCCGCCAGCAGGTCGCTGACCCGCTCCAGGTCACCGCGCACGCAGGCGGCGTGCAGACGCGTCTCTCCCTTGGCGTTCCGCTTGGTGAGGCCCGCGCTGGAGACCAGTGAGGAGCCCGAGGACTGCGTGCGCCGGCCGCCCGTCCCGGACTGGCCCGACGGTGGAGCGCGCGGCTTCTTGGACGAGCCAGGGTCCTCGGCTGGCTTATCGCTGGGCTGAAATCAGAGGCGAGAGACGTGACTAATTATGACGAAAACATCATTCGTGTGGTAGCGTATGACTCATGTCAACTAACATTTTCCCGAATCAATGTAATTGTTTGTTTATTGGGGATTTAGGGCGCGCCGACTACTAAGGTCACTTGGCGCCCATCCGAACTAATAAAACTTATATTTAGATGATATGATCACTTAATTGAAAAGGACGAAATTAAACTAACTCCCTGGTAATCTTCTGAATAATGGAACGCAAAAACTCACCTTCTCCACGTTCTGTTTCGTCTTAGTGCCTTTTCCTTCTGACTTTCTCTCCTTTTCCGTATTCCCGGCGACGTCTCCGTCATCTTTCTTCTGTGACTCCTTCTTTTGTCTGGCTTTGTTCCCACCTTCCTTCTCCTTCACCTCTTCCTTCTGTCTTCCATCACCACCGCCTCGCTCTGCCTTCTTCCTCGGACTCCGCTCTCTTCGTTCGACCGGCGCTGTGGAATCGTGCCGCGGCGCCGTGGAACCGTGCGGCGGTGCTGTCTGAGTTCCACCGAGACCCAGTAGCTGCCGCAGCTCAGCGCAGCCGGCGGCCATCGCGCTCAGTGTGGTGTCCGTGCGCTGCTCACGAGCCTCCGACGGCACCGCGCACGAGGTGCACGTGCTGCTGATGTCGGCGCATGGGCCGCAGAACACGTGCGCGCAGCGGCCGTAGCGGCGTGGCTCTGTGGCGATGACGCCGCAGCCACTGCAGCGCAGCAGTGCTTCCAGCGCATCCAGTGCACTGCTGGTACGCTGCCAGGTGAACACCTCTGACAGTGCCATCTGTGAATATCAATGGACAACAAAACTGTGAGACATGCTGGCTGTGAGATACCTAACTAGAAGGTTACAACAGTCGGGCGCACTGTGGTATCTCCGATTCATTTATGGAGACGTTTCTATTATTGGAAACGTTTCCATTTTTGACTACTCTTCTGTTCCAAAAATGGAAACGCTCGTTCCATAAATAGAAACGCTAACATCTCCGCACATATTTTCTTGCCAAGGGTGGCTGGATTCGAAGTATAACAACTGTTTCGCGTAAAACAAGCTCAGATACACCAAAAGCACTTGTCTTCTTGCATGGAAAGCTGTCGTATGCATTAAAATTCACGTCTTTAAAATGCTCCTGAATCGTATCCATTTATGGAGACTTAGTTTCCAAAAATGGAAACGCCGATGTTCCAAAAATAGAAACGCTGAAGTTCAAATGTTTGCAAACTTAGCTTAAATGTGTTTTTAAAATTCACATGCAACTAAAAATTTGATGTTTTGGGACTGGTTTAGCATCTCGGCTCTCGGCAGTTACCTAGGACGTCGGGCTCGATAATAATACCTTACGAGCCGCAACTTGAGCACATTCAAAAGTCAACTAAAACTAAGATTTCCCAGAAACTACTGGACAGATGTGGTCCAAAGTGGGCAATACATAAAGCGTAGATATCATTTCAATATATAAAATTAATATCCATGTTACACATGAGCTAGAATGAATAAATTCATCGTCAGAATGCAATGTTTTTTGGTGTGACGACGGTGCAGACCTTATTTCCATCCTGCTTTTTACGTATTTGTACGGAGATTTACGTTGATCCGAGCCTACGATCATATTCAGCACATTTGAAATATCATAAAATGCCCACTTAAGTCTCCAAATAGGGCTTTGCAACAACTTTCATGCGATTTAATCAAAGATTGACGGCCACCAGGCCGCTGGTACACCGGAAAACGCAGCGTGATAATGAATGAAAAACTGAAGTTCCCGGTGATGTGGTTGTTGCAATCAATGGGTCAGTCTTTCAGTAGTCTGTTAAAAACGTTATTTTTTGTTCAAAACATTCATAAATGTTATTATTTTCGATTAGAAAAACGTGTGAATTTTTTATCACGTCAACATGTTATAAGCATCCCCTCGTTCGTCAACTTTCGGTTTTCTGATCGGAAAGTCGGAGAACAGGAACATAAACTAGAATGCTGGCTGTCGATTGGTGGCATCCTGCGCATGCCAAATTGCACCAATCAATGCCCAGTTTGCTTTAAAGGTAGCGATGCACACAGCGTCTCCATTTATGGAACAGATCGTTTCTATTTTTGGAAACGGCGTATCCATTTTTGGAACATTGTTCCAAAAATGGAAACGTTTCCATAAATGGATCGGAAATACCACAGTGTGCCCGACTGACAACAAGACCCTGAAAGAATTCACAATAGTGATTTTTGCCATTGCCTTCATTGATGTAGCCATCATACATCAGTTAACAACTAACTTGGGGTTAAAATTGAACCAATAAGAAATCCAATTGTGTTACAAGCCTTGAAATGTTACAATGTTTCATCCCATATGGTTCCCAATGGTTTTAAATGGTTCCCAATCTAAGGTTCAACCACATTTTTATTACAACTTGCCACAATGTTGTCATTGTTGTTGTTGTTGTTGTTGGAATAGGGCGCGTAAGCCTTACAACCCAATCGTCCAACCCCATAATGTCAGTTCCAGTTCTGAACCAAATTAGGTAAACACCAAATAATTTCAAATGTTATTAGCAAAATGTTTTGTTCAATTCTGACTTCTGAGCCCAGGGTGCAAACGGCGACATTCACCAATCACCAGCCTCGCGCTATTGAGATAACCCACTGAACTCTATAGATAACCAAAATACTCATGCTATAATGTATTTATAAAAATGCAAAATAAAAATGCATGACATACCGTACAAACAACTCTGAATCTGAATCTCTGCACCTTTATTCCTCAGTCTTAGCCCTCAGACACAACCAGGGGGCGTCGAAGTCTAGTTCCTACCAAACTGGCACTCCCATGCCTACGTCACCACGAGGACGCCCTAGGGCATTTACATGTTGAAGATAGGGAAATTGTCATAGTTTAGAGCCGCCTGGAGGGCAACCTTGAGATAGATGATAATGTAAATGTGTGCTAATATGATCATCAACATGTTATTTATCCAAATCCAGGGCCAATTAATTGATATCTTGTCACGTTTTCCAGTGGTGATGCGCTAACTTTCGTGGTTCTTGCAGCCAATAAGGGTGCTTCATAGTGCGATTCAGCCGCATTATCGACTTTAATGCCATAAACCGCCACGGAACATATGATTTGCAGCTCCCTGGCGTGATAGCTGCCAGTAGGGCTCCGGAGTCGGAGTCATGAAGTCGGTCGGAGTTGACAGTTCTGACCTGAGTCGTCGAGTCGGAGTCAGAGTCGATTTTAAAAGCAGGAGTCTGAGTCAGTCACCGAAATTCGATCCCCTCCGCAGACCTATCAGGGTTCCGTAGTCGGAGTTGTAGTCGGTCCGAATCGACAGTCTGACCAGAGTCAGAGTCGATTTTGAAAGCCAGAGTCGGAGTCGGAATCACCAAAAATCCATTGCCTCCGCAGACCTGCTAGGGCTGTGGAGTCGGAGTCGGTCAGAGCCAGCATTTGAAATCAAAGTCATAGTTGATTTTTGAAAGTCTGAGTCAGAGTCGGAGTCATCAAGAAACCCATGGACGATCCGCAGTGCCATGCAGTAAGGGCGCTGCCGATCGATGCTCTGAATTGCCAATGATTTATGAATTTAATGAATAGATGGCAATAAATTAGGTGCCTTCTATTATTCATCCCTTGCCACTTGGAGGACTTACTTTCAGTAGAAAAAGACGCATTATTTGTTTGTTTATTTATTGACAAATATTTTTTGAGCAGTTAGGGATACAGACACAAAACACAATGATAGCACCTCGCTGGTGCAAATCATTGCTAGATAGATACTGAAATGTGTTGCCATTGAAGAATCTACTGATTTTCCTGGCGGCTCTCGTTTTCAAGTAACAAATGGTCTTGTAAGATCTCTTGATTGCTCACCGTCTGGCGTCTAGTTCAAAGGTTTTCTGAAAGCTAATCAAACGTTACCATGGCTGCTCTTGATGGCATAGCGCTTGCTGGTTATGGGTTCTTAAAGGAACTATCCCACCTTCTAAAATGTTGTTAAAACCAGTTAAAGTGTGCCCGACTTTATAGATTGGATGACCAGGAACACGGTTCTGGCATTTATTTTTCATTAAACATCTTAGGCTTCCCATATTCCAAACACAAACTTTCAAATATGTGACGTCACAGCCCAAAATTACCTCCTTCCCCAGGCCACATTACTGTCATAAAGCTGATTCTTTTTACTCTGTAGGCACCACAACAAAGTTCAGACCAAGTTTTAAGCGATTTTTCAACGAACAAACCCATTTAAATCAGAATGACTAAACGAGGTGACGTCACACTAACGGTCGCTCCATGTTGAAGATAGGGCCTTGCGGAAGGCCCATTTTCAAATGAAGGGAACAAATTTCTTCAACACCAAGAGGCCGCGGGGGTTGCAACCTAGATAGATAGTGGTTTCTGAACCTCGCCGCAAACTTGGCTATCTCAACTCAAACCCCATGTTAAAGGTGGGATAGTCCCTTTAATTGGTGGTTCTTGCGTCTGATCCTGGTTGCTTCATCTTCCATCACATCACATTAAATTTCTAATGGAACAGACACTTCTACCTTTTATTTCACAATCAGTCGACTTGCATTTACCCATGTGGCCTGCTGGCCCTTTTATTTCCACGATAGAATCTACCAATTATTGAAAAAGCCTCGGATTAAAAAGCAAGAAAAGTATGTCAAGTTAAATAATTGCGACGGTCCTAGAAAACCAGAAAAAAAATATCAAAAAGCTTGTCCATCTCACTTCCCTCACTTCATAACAAAAAACACGCAGCAAAACATGCGAAAGAGTCCTTAGCAACGCCTTAGCAACGTACTTGTCTGAAGTGCGCAATATGTGTCGCATCTGGAAAATTTAGTAGCTACTTGATTATTCAACTAGAGTTGGACTATATAAGCTAGGCTTTTATATCGAAAATAAGTGTTTGCTTATTGAATTTATAGCAACTGGTTGCTTAACTTCAAAATAATGATTTGCTACAGAAAAAGCTTGTTTGCGACATATTTGTAAAGAAACAACGGAAATAGCTTTGACTCGTACGCTATTCTAGTACATTTTTGGTAGAAAACTTCGTCCAACCTTATGTTTTAGGGCCTTGGACACAACCAAGAGAAGGCGCGTGCGCGTAGCACCTACGCGTGATGCGTCCAACAAAAAATGCTACTTGAAAAAGGCGCTAAATTTATTTTGTCTATAGTGCGCCATTGATGAATAAATCTGAGAAATACAAATGTCACAAATGTCATTCGTGCCATATTTCTAAATGACGTAACAGGACCAAGTTCTGAGTAGGTCAATCTTTGACTTTTGTGGGATTCCTTTTTTAGTTGAGTTCTATTCTGTATTTCGAATACAAAATAAGAAAATAAGATAAAAATTTTAGTGAGTTGTTACTCAAAAGTAATCTTGGTTTCTCATGTTGACCATTACTTTACTTTTGTTTACATTTTCCTTTGATGATGTCATAGATATTTAACAAGCTGATAAAATATACAGATTAAAAAAGCTGCAGGTTGTGCATTTTGCTAGAAATGTAAATATGAATTGGAATGTCTTGCAAGTTGCAATTCATTCGGAGAGTCATTTTAAGGGTCATTTATGACATTCTTCTTTGTTAATTGTTTAAGCACTTACCTACCCTAATAAGGGCTTTAATGGAAAAACTCAAGTTTAAAATTTGGCACAAACAAGTTTCGACTTTCGGCGCAAGTGAAGTGCTAAAATTTCGGCACAAAAATCAAAATCGTTGATATCGGTAAATACAACCTTACCTACCCATTTATCGCCGATGGTGACACCAGCTTTACCGATACCAATTTGTTTGCCCCTTCAATGAGGCGAAGTGTAAGGTCATGCACCTCGGACGAAACAACCCAGCAAAGCAGTATGTGATGAGAGACTCTGAGATGAGCGTCGTGCGGGTGGAGAAGGATCTGGGCGTGCAAGTCGATGACGAGCTGAAGTTAAGACAACATGCTTCAGCAGCCGTAGCCAAGGCCAACCAGATTCTCGCTGTGATTCGTCGCTCATTCGTGCTGATAAACGAGTGCACGCTGCCGCTGCTTTACAAGTCCCTGGTGCGCCCGCACCTCGAGTACGGCAACCTCGTGTGGGGCCCTTTCAACAGGGCGGACCAGAAGCTGGTGGAGAGGGTACAGCGCAGAGCTACGCGCATGGTGGCCAACCTTCGCCACCTGCCCTACCAAGAGAGGCTCAGGGCTCTGAAACTTCCATCGCTGTACTACCGACGCAAACGGGGCGACATGATATTCACCTACCAGATGTTCCATGGAGGGGTTGATGTTGAAGTCACGGATCTCTTCTGCCCCGCCACGGGTGCCGTTACACGAGGTCACCCACACAAGCTCCGCAAGCTAGAGGCGGTCAGCAGACTGAGGAGAGCTGCATTCGCAGTCAGGGCCGTGAACGACTGGAACGGCCTACCTGCTCAAGTGGTCAGTGCCCCCACCGTGGACTCGTTCAAGGCGAGACTCGATGCCCACTGGGGCCATCACTGGTATCATATACCAGACACGGATTAACAAATGGCAAAAGGGACAGGAGCTCGGTTAGAACGGGACCTCCAGGCCGAGTTGGCCTTTATTATGCCCGAACACCGTAAGGTAAGGTAAGGTAATATCGTGAATGAGAGGCTCTGAGGCGTCTAGTTGAGCGTGTGCCTTTTTTCCAGTCGGGGCCTTGTTTCACGTCACGATGCTACAGCAGTAGGCAGAACTATGGTCAATTCGTTCCCATATTTGGGAACGAAAAACCAAAATATGGGAATGCTACCTATGCACTTATGCAGGCATTATTTTAAACAAGAAGAACCATTAAATGATGTCCAAGAAATAAAATGATTATGAGTCACCTGATATTTGTCTGATATTTGATATTTGTCCTGATATACACCTGATATTGTGATATTTGAATATTGTTGGGAAAGAGTGAAATTGTAAAGCCCAACGTAGTTTCAAATAGTTCCGCTATTTCTAAAGCAGTCCACCAGACATGGGCACAGATCCTAGAGGACCAAACACTAAAATCAAGATGACCACTAGAAGTAGATAAGTGGTCTTTAAGCGTGGAATTATTGTGGAAAACATGGCTAATAGATGCCTCTCAACGAACCAACTATTTTGCATTCTCTCAGAGTCTACAGTTTTGAGAAAATCCCTGAAGAGCCATCTCGGATCCATGATCAGGAATCAGGCATAGTGTCGCATGATGTAGCGTTGTGTGTCATGAAACAGGGCCTTACCGCCTTGGCCCTGCCTAGTGCCTGGTGTGGTCGCTTTCAACAGTCGCCAAAAGTCCCACTCCCATGTCCCAATTCAGTCATTAGTTAATTCCTGTAATACAGACCTTGTTATTTATTCTTACTGTGAACGTCAAACCCCTTGAGACCCCACTTTTTTGCGATAATTTTTAAATGCGTCAACTCTCGTTGACAATATTCTGGCAATGTATGTTTCAGAACCTGCCGAAACTTTTATTACTAAGGTATTTTGACGCCAAGCGATTATGGAAGGTACTTCTCATTCACTCGTAATGTTAAGGTCAATTCAGGCCCGGGCAGAGGCTTGCGCTCGGCCACACTCGAGCCCCGCCACCAGCGCCATCTGCTCTAAATGCCATCTACCAGCGCCCGCTACCACTACCAACTACCGCCCGCCATCAAGCCTGAATGGAGCGAGAGACGCGAGTGACCGGTCGCCGGGCAAGGAGCGCCGGAGGGGTAGGGCGGAGCTTAGCGCTGACGTCATTACGTGGCTCCGCCCCATGAGCGCGTAGCCT